GATTTTCTTGGCCTGGTCTTCATTTTTGAATCTCTTAATGAAGTACTCCTCCTTTTGTGGGTCATTGAACCCTCTAACCTCTGTGACCATGCAAACACACTCAGGAGGGATCTGATTGGCTGCTGCAGGTCGTGTGGTTATCCAGAGGAGAGCAGAGGGAAGCACGTAACCCAAGATGAGGTTTTTTAGCAGAACATCCACTGAGGTGGACTTTGTAACATCAGTAAGGATCTCCTTGTCGTTGAAGTCCAGAGGAAGTCGACTCTCATCCAGACCATCAAAGATGAACAGAACCTGAAAATCTTCAAAGTTGCAGATTCCTTTGGTTTCACTAAAAAAAGTGATGAACAAGTTCCACTAAGCTGAACTTTTTCTCTTTCAGCACATTCAGCTCTCTGAAGGTGAATGGAAATATGAACTCGATGTTCTGGTGGGCTTTGCCTTCAGCCCAGTCCAGTGTTACTTTCTGGGTTAAGAACGTTTTCCCGATGCCAGCCACTCCCTTTGTCATCATTGTTCTGAACCGCTGACCTCTTTCATGTTGGACTTTAAAGATGTCTTCTTGTCTGATTATTGTTTCGGGTCTGTGTGTTTTCCTGGATGCTGTTTCAATCTGTCTGACCTCATGTTCAACATTGACCTCTTCCGTGTCCCCCTCAGTGATATAGAGCTCTGTGTAGATCTGGTTCAAAAGGGTTGGAGTTTTTACTTTATCTATCCCCTCAGTCACACAATGGAACCTCTCCTTGAGTTGAGCTTGAAGTTTGTTTTTAACATGCTGCAAAGTTTCTAAAATAAAATAAAATAGAAACACAGTCAGTTTCTAGTCAGAATAGATCATATATTTATCCATCAGGTTAAGTCTGTGTAGAAATTAACTTACTGTTCTGCAGATTATCAGCAGGCAGCTGAAACAGGATAATACATATTGGACACATCAGACTGAAATCATGGAGCTAAACATCAGATGAATTTTGACAAATTGAAAGCCAACTGGTGCAGAATAAAGATGTTTTACATTTACAGACCGTGTGGTGCGGTAGTCTTTGATGTTTCTCGGCAGTCAAACCACAAGATATCTCTGAGATCTCCCCATCCACTCTGTGGAGGAAGTATTAGTAAGGACATTTTAAACAGCATTTTTCCAAGACAAAGTTTCCAACAGTGTCACAATAAAAGTCATCAAAAAAGGAAGATGAGATAAAAGGATGACAAACATATTCTGAGTTGGACTGAAAGGTACTCCTGTTCACAATGTCAGCATATTTTAGGAATGTGGAGACTGTGACTCAGAGCTGGGGGGCAGTGAAATTGTAAGCTGTGTTAGGAATCCAGTTTGTGTGGGTTGTTTTGTGTTTGTCTCTCCCTCCACCACCAGGTGGTGCCCTGTCCTCGTTGGCCCTCCTGCACACCTGCGGCTCGTTAGTCCATCACTGAGGAGTATTTGAGCCGTTGACTGCCACTCCCTCGGCGCCAGAGTGTTTGCCAGTTTAGGGTACTCTAGCCAAGCTGAGATTAGCTGAGTCTAACCTGAGCCTTTGTTTCTCTGAGATTTTACTTTTTTTTTTGTCTTTGCCTTTCGGCAGGAAGCCTTCCTGGAAACTGGATGTTTGGCCTTTTCCCCCTGGAAGGATCGTTTTGTGTTCACACTGAGCAGGGGAAAAACCTTCTCATGACCCGTTCAAGTTCCCTATGATATCCAAGTGGCAGTCCGCTCATTTGCTCCTCAGGGTCAAACTAAAACCAACCTATCCGCCCTCCAACGAGTTGCCCTTCCTCTGGATAAACCCACACTTTCTGGATTCAAGGGAAAGACTGAAATCCCCTCCAACGTGAGTCCC